CACGACTGGACATGGGAAGACTAAATAGTTTAGATCTGATCCTTGGATGTAGATTGCTTGGTCCCGTCTATTGCATGCTGCTTCTGTATGTCATCTGATGAGTAACTATTTATTAGAAAACATCAGATTTATTGTTGTAGTAACTACATGTACCAGATGATAGGCCACTTCATAGGATGTCTGTGGACTTATGACCATAACCCCTTGTGAAGCAAATGTCCAGTATCCATTTACCAACATGATGGAGATACCAGAATCTTCCTTTTAAGGAAGGGAAGGATGACTTGTAGCTAAATCATGATATTTTCATACAACTCTTAGTGACTGACTCAAAAACACCATTGGCAGAACTTTGGCATATGTTTTATAGGCATTCTCCTCATTTACAGAACAGGTCGAGGTTTAAAGAGAGCCCAACAAGAAGGAGCAAATTACCTGTAAGATTAAAATAGGTAAAATAAAACTGAAATACAACTCGTTATCTATTGTATGTTTGTTGCACAAAATTGCATTTTAATAGGAAAGAGCATAGCCCTCAATAATCCTGGGGTTATTGAATATATATGTAAATTGCCCTTGTCATTGGTCACAGTAAGTTGATTCAGTTTTTATGCATACATGAAGGACATGGATAGGAAAAAGATATCGGAAACTTACTTCACAGAGCAATCTTGAGGTCAAAACCTGTGATTATAATGTAACAGCTAAATTTTTATCGAAAACACTGACAATACAATTTATGAGTTGAAAAGATTGAAGAAAAATCATGATAATTGGAAGTAAGGCCAATGCGCTGGAAGAATGTACCCAATGCAATTTTTCTTAGAAGCGTTAGTGGAATTTCCATGGTGTTGTACGGGGTATTATTATCAAGTGCAATCTTCAGCTGAATCAAGATTGGTGGGCAAGGGAATAACAGAAGCAGAATGTAAAGCTCTTATTCAATCATTTCAAAGTCACACATGTTATCCTTGTATAGATTTAATTGTCTTTATATTATTTATAGTTAAATTTAGTGGTTTACAAAGTAGTTAGAGCAAAAGATCATAAAGCCGAGATGCTACAGTACCATTGCTAACAACAGGGTGCAATTACAGTATGACAAAGATATATAATAGAAATCATTGCACATGTGCATAGAAATTTACAATGGAAAATATTGATATAGAGCTTATCATCAGAAAGTGATATTTTATAGACAGCAAGTGTGTATTAACATAAGAATTTAATACATCATATAGAATTTTTAAAAAATGAAATATCGCCTCTCCATAGAATTAAAGAAACTCACAGCACAGAAGGATGCTATTTGCTCAATCATGCCTTTGAACCTACTCCTAAACCAACAACTGTTGGTTGAGATCTTCATTTTCCCTGTTCAAGTTGCAAACTGCAAAGATCACCGTGACTGATGCAGGTCTGTGTGAGACCAATTACCTAGCTCTCAAATAGGTGGTGATATTTAAAATTGCACAGCTCTCTCTAGAAATTGGATGAAATGTCGAATGATCACGTAGTTTGCTGCAACTTTTCACTTTATTCTTTCTGCGATAAATTGACCTCAATAATTGGAGAAATTTTCTGAAGAATAATATTAATTCAAAATGAATACATTAATTAAAAACAATTAAAATCTAAGAATAATTGTTTAATTTGAAGCAAGGTGGAAGAAATATTAAGGAAGCTAATTTTCTGGTTCTTCTGCTAAGCCCCTTCCAAAAGAATAATGTAAGCTTGGGTTTGAGTCAGAGTTCTTGCACTTCCAACCTGTAACCCTATCTAGTGATATCGTTAATTCCAATTAGATTAAAGATTAAATGAAGAAATGCTACTTCTTTCATTCTCTTGACACACAATATTCACTATTATAATGATCATTTATGCATAAGGTGGAGGGGCTTTATGAGATACTTCTGCGTGCTCTGATTGAAACCCATACCAGAGTCCAAATTTTGGTTTTGGAAGGAAAATGAAGGAGAAGCCGTGAAAACAATCAGTGGCACACGTATATTTCAAACTTTTTAAACTATTTCTTCTCTAGTGTTCTTTCTCTTAATTTAGTCATGACATTCAACTGAACTCAGGCCTGACAAAGTGCAGTGGCTTGATTTTTAAACTGTGACTGGTAACCTAATTCCTAACCCAAATGGAAAAACTAGTGAAAATTTTAATTCTTGGAAATGAATGTATGAGGTGTACCAGAGCTACATTTTGAAGTACATAAGATAAGACGGTATGTATCACTGACAAGTTTTCCTGCTGTTTTCTTCTGGGATATAATTTCAGGGGCCTGACCCCGGGCTGATTCTGAGTCAAAATGGCAATGGGATTTTCAAATATAAAGGCCTCATTGGGAGATAGGCCATCTCAATGCCCAATTAATGGGGCTTAGTGTTACAATTGGGCACCATCTATGTACAGAACACAACTGACAAAGGCAGATGGCAGCCATGTTAGGGGCTGCTGCTTTTTTACAGGGCAGGGATTAAACATTGAAGGGCTTGCAGCCTTACTGCGCATAAAAGTGACTAAATAGCCCACTGTATGCACTCCAGAACTAAAAAAATTCAGAGTGGTTAAAATGTGTCATCAATAAATTGATTTACATTTTCCATGCATTAAACCAGACAGCTACGCTCTAGACTGTTCGGATTCCAAATTGATTTCCAAACTGAAGGTCGTCCTCAGGCCCTTCCTACCCTATTAACACACTCCTTGAGGAACTTAACACGCCATTGACTGGAGTTGAAAAGTTGCCCAAATCTGTCTCCTACCCTCACTTCAAAAATTTAAGCATACCTCAGGGGGTTATATCATCATGGGGTGCTTGTACCCAAACACATACTATTTGTGCCAAGAGATGACTGGAAATCCCAGCCCAAATCTCAGAATAAGGCTAACTCTGATTTAACTTTGAGTAGTTCCAAACATGGAGCCTCATTTAAGAAAACAAGGAGTGCAACTTCTTTTAAAAACTTATTGATCATTTGTCTCCATGTGAATATATTTCTGCGGTGGCTTCCTGTTTTAAAATGACAAATGACTTTATACTGAAGAAGAAATTATGAAAATTATCAAAAACTCTCATAATTGACCCATATATTTCTCGGCAAAAATGGGCATTTGCAACATTGATTAATAGTGGAAATATCAAAATATAGTAGGTTTTAAAATGATCAAACTTAATAATGAATTCCATTAAGTAGCTCAAAAGCTATCAAGCATAATAAGTCATTCACATCCACAAATATATATACTTGGGCACTAACAAATTAAGAATGTTAGTTTCACGAACAGATTCATGTGGATTGAGAACCACATCTGGAAAATTAAATTTATTGTAACAATCGACTTAAATATCTCTGCTGGTATAGGTGTCCAAATTGCAAGTAATCTTGAACTTCGATTTACTAAACTGCAGTTAATTTTCACCATAGTCATATGGAGACAATTTCCGTATGGCGATCAGGGCCATTTACAGGGTGTTTCCACAAGGAAAATTATTTTGTTCATTTAACTATTTGTCAATATTTTTGATCAGGTAGTGCTGATGATGTCTTCAACAAAGCGTCTTAGCAGAGTTAGGGGCTTAGTATTGGCAGGGCCAATCGCACCTTCTTGGCACTTCAGTAAATGCCCTCATTGACTCAGGAGCGTCAGTTTTAGCAAGTAACACCCTCTTGCTCCATTATTTCGATTAGAACTAGTACACCCCCACCTACCTCATCCCAACCGACTGCACTAATCTTAATCATTTGTATCGGTTAAAATCTTAACTTTACAACGGTCCTGGTCTACTTTATAAAATGAAGGCAGCAATTTCGATAAGTTTTGCTTGGGGGGTATTTTAAGAGTTAAAAGTGCTACGAAGTTGTTCATGAAGACAGCAAGCGTGTAAACACATCTGAGCAGGTTGTTTAAAAAAATCTATAAAGCACAAGTAATCCAATTAACGCATTACTCTTACATGCCGAGTCTGCAGGAGATTTCTGAAAACTAACCCATCCGCCTCGTTTAGTTTTGTCCACAAGTCTGAAATCGCAGATCGGAAATAAACCGAGAGAAAACAAAACCTACGTCCAAAATTAGCTGTGTTCACGGTACGAATATCACTCGGGCGACTCTATAATCTACATTTTAACAGATCATGTGCAAGGAAATAGGAGAGAATCTGTAAGAACCACTGATGGCGTTGTAGGTGTAGTCTGAACGTGAGCATTTCAGTGAAAAGTTTCAACAAGATCTCAGGCTTACACACGCCACTGTGTACTAACATTCTAAACTCTGTAAATTCGCTGTGGCTCTGAAAGGAAACTGCTAATTTAAATATACCACTGAAAAGACATGAAAGTATTTGAGATGGCACAGATCTGTGTGGCGGGGGAGTTTACACATTACCCCACCCTCCCCAAACCCCGTCTCGACGAGTTATTTAGCAAAGCTAAATTTCTCGGATCAGTGGGAATATTTGCAAATAAAAGCTGTCACGACAGCCTGACTCTTCACCCACACCCAGGTCTTAATGGCCCAGAAATTACAAAGCAAATGGCTACACGCTTTCTTAAAGTTGACAAAACATAGGCCACTGGGGTGACATTACTGCAGGGGAATTATTTGAACAGTAAATGCTTGTTTTGATTCACAAAGGTGAAAAGACGACGAGAATGTGAGGAGAAAAAAAGATGAGCAACAACTACATCAAAGTTAGATTAACCAGTTGTTTCGCACAAGTTTAAATAAACGTTATGCACTGACAGACATTATAGATGTATTATGTATCAATATCTATCTAGATAAATTGTGTATAGATGTCTGCCCGCAGTCTGTAGCATGTTACATTTTAAGTTTATTTAAAACAATACACTTTTACTCTGAGAAACAATTGCTCGAGATTGTTTAGGAACTTAGAATCAACAAGTGACTGTTAATGATAAACTAGTCTGTCTGTACACGTAGCATTGTGTGTGTTAGTTTGGAGTGAAGGGCCCAAGATCCTTTACCTGTACCAACGCAGTCCCTCATCGTAGTGTCTGTCGAAAAAGTGGGGCTCTGCCCCCACTGCCCGAACGTCAGGATGGACCCGGACGAATTCGAGTAGCGCCCGTGTGCCTCCCTTCTTCACGCCGATGATGATCGCCTGCGGCAGCTTCCTCACGCCGTCGCCGCTGAAGCTCAGAGTGCTGGGCGGCGGGTTCCCCACCACGGAGCCGCCGCCGGTCTGCCGGTTGAGATTGAAGGACTGGAACTGTAGCCTCAGGTCTCGGAAATATTTCTCGGGCAGGTCGCCGTTCCAGTAGCCCCGCACCTGAAGCTTGTGCAGCAGCGTCTTCCTGCGGAGGGACTGCCACTCATCAAAATCCGCGGCCAGGTAGCCTTCCGAACCACGGACCGGTCTGGGCATGGTGTGGCACACATCCGACAGATAATACAAGAAGTACAGGGACATCAGCAACACGCAGAACATGACCACGATCTTCCGGTAGACTTTCGTGGGTAGTGCGTCCGAAAAGACTGTGCTAAGTGCCATAGCGTGTAGTAGTCCCCGGCACAAGAGAATGCCATGCTAGGCTGTAGCCATGTATTAGCTGAAAAGAAATATTTTATTGGTGTGTGTGTTTATGTGATCCTTACATATGTTTGCTTAACATCTAAAGCCTGATTTCTGAATTCAGTTGGATGCCACTCGTTTCCCTGTATGTTTTTGTTTGTTGTTTATGTCCTTCTAGTTTTACGGCTGCAGTCTTCAGCTTCATTTACTTGCTGGTACATTTTGTATTTTCACTCAGCAGCGTCTCTGTGCTGTCACGGCGCATTACTTGCTACTTTGATACATTCCCAGTTACACGGAGACAAATGTAGCAAAGGTTTCTCCCGTGTGTGCGTGCTCGGGGATGGGGCGAGTAGATACATGATTGACCGGACAACAGACCAATCGCAATCTCGCTGCCTCTGGGCGAGCCGCCAATGAGGAGGAACCTCCCCGTGCTCCCCGAAGGTCCCGGCCACTCACAGCTGAGGGTGGGCGGGATCTGGGCTTGAAGTGGAGCCAGGGAGTGAATTCGAGTCTTTACTGGGACCTGGGACAGAGAGTCAGTCCCGGTCTCAGCTTCTGCTCCCCATTCTTGAAACCACCCACCACTCTCCCCCCCACCCCCACCTCCAAGGGGTAGTACGAAATGCAAGAGCCTGCATTTGTAACGTTTGGCTGGGGTGTGTGTGGAGTACAGGCGCGGGGAGAAGGAGGAGGACGACAAACTGGTGAAATGATGGTGAATTTACACAGAAGGCTGTTTTAATGATCAAATGGAGGTGGAGAAACCATATTCCCCCAGACAGCCCGCACAAACGCAATATGCATGTTCTTTTTTCGGGGGGAAGGGGGATTGACAATAAACTACAGACACACTCCCCCGAAATCGCATTATATTTGTTTGTGTCACATTCGGCGCAGATGAATGTTCACGATCCGGATTTAGAGCAGTGTGCAGTGACTAGCTCTCCCCCTTTCAGGGAGTTTCCCGGCGGCAGGAGTTCTCCCGCTGACCCCATGTCTCAGTATCAGGTGGTTTGAGTTGCAGAGGCCGGGGTTTGGTCGGGACCTGAGAGCCCGCACCTCCAATACTGAAGCTGAGAACTAGTTCACTTTCCATCACGGGCTGTCAGAATAAGGTCAACAGCGGCAGATCGGGGGATAATTCATTAACTATTCTTTTCTTTTAAGAAACACTCCTACAATTTATCTGATCGCAAAATAATACTTGGATGCCAATTGTTTTTCTCCGCGGGGCCGTATCATTAGGAGGCTGGGCGATAGACACCGCTTTGTACGATAAAGCACAGAGAAAGGATGTTTACAATGATTCCGATACAGCAATGCCACCAACTTTTATTATGACGGGGAAGTAATTCCAACTAGTTCATCGCTTTGCATGTTGTACAGTTCAAAGGGAGATATCCACTAGGGAAGGGGGCAATTATTGACTAAAATATTGAACTATATTTAATTGCGATGTTGAATTTGATCTCCCAATATCATTACACAAAGTTTGAAAAGCGTAATTATGCGTTATGTTATACACATTATTTGACCCAACTGCAGATTGGAGCACAGTAGTTAAATATTGTTTATTGAGAACAGAGTATTTTTGGTGGGACTTGTTGAAGTGGGCAGTGTGGGATGTCCGACCGTGAGAGGTCACGCGAGCTTAGAAAGTCCACAGAACCTTTTATCTTGAGTGAGTTTCGTGGCCGCCTGGTTAGGATAGTCCTCTCTCTTTCTCTATTCCCCCCAAAAGCCCCAGGACATATTTTCGACTACGTATCGCTGCACAGATTAAACTCGAATTCCAGGGAACATTATCGTTAAATCAAACACTCTAGAATAAAGGCGGCCCTTTTGCAGTGAATGTGAAGACCTATATGTCTTTATTTGACTGAAATGATTAGTGATGAATTCCCTTTTTAATGTAAAATAATCGAATTAACTTCTCATTCTCCATAGAATGAACGATTCCGTCCCTCTGAAAACTGGGCGTGAGTGGCAATCCACTGTACAAGAATGTATGCGTGATCCTTGGTATGGAAAACAGTTTTTAAAAAAATAATTAAAACACAGTATGAAGTACCACCTAACTCCGCAAAGGCGATGCACTTAGTGTTTTATCTGTTAGCAGCCTGAGCAACTGGAAGTCGAATTAATTTAGATCGTGTCCCTCCAATTGTATAATAGCCACCTCTCCAAACTTTGTTTTAGCGACAATGTGGCATCTGCAGTTTGTGGGTCATTGATAGAGATTGGGCGGGGGGGGAACTATTTCACCTGAAATTCAATATAAAAGCATCAGGCAGGCACGGTAAAACGCTATCATTTTCTAGGGCCCGATTGTACCAACGGGTGCTAAAAATTCGGGACCAGATAGTGTTCCTTAAACCCGATTGTTTCTGGTTCATTTAGCTTGTGTCCAGTTTTGTTTCATTCTGTCACTTGTTGCGTGTTAACATCTCGCTCTCCCACAAAGCGCCATTAATTTTGCCCAGATTTTGTACAAACTTCATCTTACAGCCCACCAAGGACGATCACTTTTATTACAACTTGCCTTGTTTTTCTCTGTCTCTCTCCCTCCCCCCGGAACCACCACCACCTTTCGTCCGGAGTTTGACTATTTCTTCACAAGGGCACAACCGAGTGTTTCACATCTGTTGGCTTTTTTTTAGTTGTTGTTGCTGTGTTTTTTTTCCTGGAGGTTAGAATTTGCATGAAAATAACGAAGTCAGTGCTTCAATTTGTCCGCATATTAGCGCCTGAGAAAAGGAAAACGACCCAAAAATCAGCGACCTCGGATCTACCATATGTTGCAGGACTCACAACAAAAGGACGAGCTCCTGGTTAACAAATCACCTCTGTGAGGATGAATTGTGGGAACTCATGGGCCAGCAATGTTTCAAAACAGTTTTTTTATTAAAAGGCTGATTACTAAATTTATTAAGTACTAACACACTTAAACTTTGTTTTTATATTGGCCCCTTTGTTTATACAGCACTAGATTTATGTATCTCAGTGAATGCTGTGTAAACCCAGCCAATACGCTAATATTCAGTGCACTAATGATCATGATTGTCTTTTCTGTGTAAGTTTGTAACTAAGCGTCCTTTCCAAGTATTTCAGGAATCGCATGTAAATGGATTTGAATTCCCGGACATAATCGTCCCGTTTCCCCCATTAAACTTCAATGTAGGAAACTGTAACTCGCCAAGTGTTTTTATTAACACACTGGCTTTTCACCAAGTTTTTGAAACTGAAGTGTTAGGGGTTGATTTAACTTTGTAAACTCCTGCTTTGAAAGCTAAACGGGGTCTTACAATTTAAGTTAATGGTTGGGGGGACCGGTGCTGTGGTGGAAGAGGAGAACTCACAAAGTTTGGAAATTTGCGAACAAGTTGTGCGTAGCTGAGCAAGCAACACTCCTGCCGCTGAACTTGGTGACGAATTTATTTGACTAATGCTTTGGCGAGCCTAATAGCATCACCCCGAGGGTGAAGAAGGCGTGAAAGTATTTTTGAACGATTCAAGTTTCGTTGGGATAAGTTGCGCACAGTTAGTTTATTATGGAAAGCATATATATCAGAACCCTCCATGTGAAATGTAAAACGTGAAATTCATTCAGCTGTTTCCTAGTAACGATGTTTGTACTCCCAATTACCTAAGCTCTGCACAGAATGGTCTGGATAAATCGTTAAACTCGAAAACCTAGCGTAACAACTGTACACGAGCTAGCGATTCGATTTCTCTTAACGCTCGTTAGATTTCCCCATGTAGTATTTTTAATATTGTAATGACTGATTGCAATTTAACAATTGATTGCATTTTACCACGAGCATAGAAAGTTAATTTGCCGTCCAATTTTATGTATAACTTGCTATTTATTAAAAATCATGTTTCAAAACCTAATAAGTTCCTTTTCTCTGCTACACATAATTAGACAGAAAGTTCCCTCTGTAAATTCTGAAACGGAGATTCGCTTTATGTATGTTCGGATTAGGAATATTCTTCTTACTAAGATGTCTCACTTGTTAAGTCAGAAAGTGACCCCCTACCCCCTATGACGGAACTTTGGAATTTGCAGCTCACTTGGAGGCACATACCAGCCTCTGAGAGGCAGTAAGAGCGTGCGAAAGGCAGTGTGGAGCAAAACTGACAACACCCAACTCCTGCACATCTGAGCGCCCATGTGAAGGGAAATATGTGATAAATCAATTGGGCAGTGAAATGAGCGGAGATTTGTTAACTTTTTCACAATGCCGCAAGCCGAACGAAACCAGCATTTTGCTTCTCTGGGCGAGCACGTTGTGTGAATATTAAGTGAAGGAAGCTCAGTTCAGCCGTCCCGCTCCCTAACCGGAATGTGGGAACCCGCTTCCTGTCGCTGCGGCTATTTCCAACAACGTTAGTTTAAAGACAAACTTGTCAGCCTACAAACTGGAAGATTAGTGCTGGAGGAAGAATCACCTCCACCAGTGTATGCAATTAAAATAAACACTTATTTAATAAACGCTAAACGTTTGATAACCGGCTATCAATTGCGGAAGAGGTGCATTATAAAAAAGGCCAAATTTGCTGTGTTGTGTTGTAACACCTTAAGGGCGTGTTTAGATTTATTGGTTAATGGGCGCCTTATAAACAGGAAATTCACCCGACTGAGCGAGAATGACTCATTGCTCGCAGGACAAATAGCGTTAAAATTTACAACGCTGAACCTGATATAACCAAGAATACAATGCTGACACTTGAGTTAATTTTAATGTATTTGAACCACCGTCTTATTAATAGGTACTCAAAGCTGCAGTGTTTGAAAGGGAAGTTTACAAATTGACAAGAACGAGCTCATATTCAAGAGGGAGGGTATTGGCAGCATGCTGTTCCTTATCCTGTAGAAAGTAGTTTAAAATTAAAGATTTAATATAACAACATCCATCTAGTTGAATTCAGTGAAAGTTGCACTTTGTTGATAGTGCTATTTAGTTTCTACGATGGAGTGCAGTGTAACATCCCCAGTAATAATATTTAATGCATATATTCAGAGAGATAAAAAGAGGTTTTGATTTACTCACCGCAATCTGACTATTTTAATTATTTAAATATAAGAAAGCTGGTGACGTGTAATGTGTAAGTTTAGTGTTGTAACTGCCTAATTTATCAGTGGCCAATCTTTTATGCAGAAGATGAGACTGTAGCTTCTCAGTTCGCCTTGTACCTCTATTACTGACTGCTTTCCCATCTTTCACCCGAAGCGAAATGAGTCAAATAAAATTGCTGGAATTATAAACATCTGCATCACGAATCTCGCCTCGTCACTTGGAA